TACCATAAACACACGGCCTTATTACTACAAAATATATCGACGCTGAGACCAGATGCTCTGCAGCGATGCTCACTCGTCGCGCAGCTGCTCCTATACACAACAAACTGCAGCACCGGTGGCGTGTTTTAAAAATAGCATCCCTCCCCCCGCCACCATTAGGGTTGTGTAAAAGGTTTTATTCGTGTGGACCTGCTACGGGCCCGCCGCCCAGAATAGAAAACTACGAAAATCGATTTTACCGTACGCGTAGATACGTACCTACGCATAATAATATAATACAGTACCTACGTGTGTAGCCACATCACAGCCAGCCATTCCCCCCCGTGTGAACGACCTCGTGAAAGCCCCCGCGCGCAAGGTCAACCGGCGGAGAAACATTCTCGGAGAATAAATAATAAAATATATAAATATATATACGTATGTAATAATAAAACGAGAATATCAGCTCCACGTTGAGACACGATTGCAGAAAGACCAACGACGCCGATGGACCGGAATGAGAGAGAGAGAGAGAGAGAGAGAACGAGAGAGAGATGTGATAAAAATTTGTCGACCAAGAAGAATATATTTTACTTCTGCAATTATAGATCTTGGGTTTTTTCCTATTTAATTTTTCAGCCAGCAGTTCGTCGATAATCGATAATATTATATTATATTTTAGAATATAGATAGATCGGTTGTCGGCTAATTATTAAATTAATTGCAAGCAACCGATTGCGATCAAATCAATGGTAGTACAACCACAGTACCAGGGCGAATAGTTTTTTTTCATCAAATCGACCGGAAATGTTCGACCAGAAGATACGCGTAGAAAAACATTTTTAGACATACCTATATATAGGAGAACGGGGAAGAGGAGGAAGAGGAGGCTGTTTGCGCGGAAACGTTAACGGATGTAGAGATGTTTTCCGTCAGAGGCGCTACATTCGAGACAGGACGTGAACTGTGAATTATGCAATAGGGGTTGAATGGAGCATGTGTGAGTGCGACTCTAAAACGTGTAACACAAAAGACTGCTGCAGTGGCGACATATACATTTATTAAGACCAGTACCTACATTTATATTCCTAAACCGATCTCGGAGACGAAACGATCATTGATCAACCTGTTATAATAATAATAATATAGGAATATATGCGACGGACACGGACGGCAACGGATTTTGTACACTCACCCCTAAACATTTTCCACCTAATATATCTAATACATACATTATACGTATATTACGAGGGGAATTCACACTCACCCTTATAATATTGTTCTCCATTGTAGTCGTTTGGGCGAAAGGGGGAAGTAAGACAGTAGTTGAAGGTACCCATACACCTATAGCAACACGCTGTTTTCTTGCACATCGCGATCTCAAGCTGTTTCGGATAAACGAATCGGAAACGTGGAAAAAAAACGGCGGATATCCTGCGGGTTCTCATATATACTTGGGCGAATACGTCATCGTTTTTGTTCGTTTTAGACGCATTACCTCAAAATATTCTATTATTAGGTGCATTGAGAAACGATTGCTTTGCAATTTCTATACTCAATGTTTATATTATAATTCATTTTCGGAACACAATTCACGGAAGTGGAAAAGATTAATTTTTAACGTCTACACTATACTGTACACTATAATTATTGTACTGCGGTAAGTACAAACAAATCTATTTCGTTGAGATAGATGATATTTATAAAAATATCTGTAAAAATATTTATGATGAATTGACAATTTGACGTTCCCAATTACGTAGGTATAATCGATTGCTATATTGTATAATTGTTTGTATACATTTATGTATACTATATATTATTAGGCAATATATGCCGCGTATAAAATAATTATCATCGTTTAAAGTGTTTATGTTTGTTATCAACCGTAAGTATTTTATAAATGACATATTCGTGTAAGCATTTCTATTACCTTAAGAAGTCACTATCACAATAATACGCATAGTGAGCATAATGTCTAACTTTTTTATGGTGGTGGGGTTACGTCGTAGTTTTCAGAATCCCTACCATATGACAAAATCCAAACGCCACGGCCGTGGAACATTCTTTAGTACATTGTTAAATAAAGATATTTTTAATTTTAAATTTTAAATTGAATTGTTTACATTATGATTTATGATATACACTACACACTACACAGTTTTTAATATTTTGATAGTTGTGGTCTAGTGATAATTTTCGTTTATATAATCATTTTATCATTTTAACATTTAACTGGTTGTAGGGACGTATACTTTTTTTAAAGCGTACCTATTCGAATCGTATTGGCATTTAAGACAACATAATGTGTAAAGCCTTTATTACTAATCTGCAGTAATCGTGATAAAAGACAAAGAAATGTCACCAACTTACTACTATTGGCTATAATGCATATCACTTATATTCAATTAAAATAAAATGATAACATTATACCTAAATGTAAACGTAATACGTGATGTATAAATGGACTGACCGTGAATATTACACATTTTTTGAAGTACAATTTAATACATACGAGTCCAAACTTCATTAAGCAAATAATATTACTACAAGGTGTATTCTAGTATTTCAATTAAAATGTATTTGTTCAAGAAATTCGTAAACAACATAACATTTTTATTATAACATGGACAACAGGTGTCCAAAAATCCAATAGTTTCTTATAAACGATGCATATAATGCATTAAAATACCTTACTATACTAGGTATCTATATAGACTATTCGAGGTATCCATACTATACCGACTAGCAGGTCGTTACAGAGGCTAAACCAGTGATGCCCAACTTTTTTTTCAGGGGACCATAATAGTAAAAATATGTTGCCTTAATGTGAACAATAATATAAATTAAATAAATATTCCATTTTCATCACTATAGGTCATTGTACCTGTCTAAGTGACATATGTTGTATCGATGTGTTTAAATTAATAAAAAAAGAGAATACGAATATTTTGGAAATAAATAGGTGATTGTATTAATTTGTATATTTCTATTTGATAAGGTTAATGGTTGGGCGTCACTTGCCTGGACAGTAGACGGAGGTTACCTATTCCAAGTATACAGAGGTAACTATATAGAAATGAACAAAAAAATACCAATGGACTTTTCCAAGTCGTTGGAGTACGCTAACGTTGTACGTGATAACTACTTATAATGTCATGAACAAAAACAGAAAGACAAAATAGAACAACTAGAGGAACCTCGACATAATATTCCGCACACAGTTACGTAAAATCAAGCAAAACAAAAACGAAACGAACCACGCGACGTATAACAATAATAATATATTGTGTATAATATTCCTCGTAATATTCTCATCACAGCACATGCTATTGAATATATAATAATACAAGTGATACAACGTTGTTCACATGGTCCCAAAACAATGTCGACATTGCACGCGAGGCGATTTTTAAGGTGGTTTGAAAGAAATAAGAAAAATTATTGCACAACTACCACGAATATTACACAGACAACCTATCTCGGTATCTTCAGTTTTTATAAAACAAAAATTGCGATTTCTCGGCACAGCCAAGGTAGTTCAAAGTGGTTTGAAAAGATTAATTTGAGTTTCCTAAGTCAACGTTAAGCCTTAACTTACAAATTAATAATTAAAAAACAATACCATGTTTAATTCTAAAAGTTTAAAGTAAATAGGTATGGAGAAAAATTAACTCGGTAAAAGAGAAGTTGATTATCATTTTAAATTTAAGTTACAACCCTGCAGGTTCCCACATAATATATCTAATGAATAATGATTGCGCAACTTTAAAATTATTTTAAATATGCATCTTATCTATCAGTTCTAACTTTCTTACAGGTACGGAATCTGTGTAGTAAAAGAAATGCCCATGTCTGTGTCAACTGAATCATTAATATTATACTTAAAACCACTGCTGTATATTGTACAGAATGATTAAACAAATCAGATAATTCGATTTAACAATGGTTATATAGATAGGTATTTTGTTTAGAACGTGATTTTAACTTAACGTACTGTTTTTTTTTATACATTAACTGGAAAAAGCTTGATTGTTACAATGGATTCTTCAACTATCTATTCCGAGTTGAAAAGCAAAAGAAAAATTAACTCTTTATCTCAGTCATAACCATCGAGCAAAGCGATCGACGTAATGCGAAGTGCACAGGAGGTGGGGGACTGCTGAGTCGTAGCCGATTTATCTTTGTTGTCCCTAGCGGATCGCGAATAAAAAAAACGTTGTAATTACTATTTATCGATAAAACGCCCACCCACCACACGGTATGTAGGTATACATAACACAAACAATGTGCGTCTGTGAGTTGGGTGTATTCTCGAAACGTGAACACAATAATATTATAACGCAGGTACCTATATTAATACACAGAATAATAATTTATATTATTAGCATAATAATATTATTGCACGACGGACTACGGGACACAAGGTCGCAACCAACCGGTACGCGTGTTTGCGCATAAAATAAAATAAAAAATAATATCATGCACGCGGACGACGGCTGAACACATGCGGATTTTCGATTTTTCATCGTCCGTCGGTGACATCGATAAAATGACGTAGTTACTCGTTACTCGTGACGACGTGTCCGCGGGCCATGGTTACTATATGGCCATACAATAATCGATGAGTACCTATAATAAGCAGTGGTGTGGCCAGGATTTCTGGAAAAAGGGGGGGGGCCTTATAAAGACCTTATAAAAATTGAATTTCTATTGTTAGCTCTAGAGAATACTGGTGTACCTACTTCTTAGTTATTATATTAGGTATATGACCAGATGTATAATATTAAATTCATCCTACTGAGTTAATAATGTGTTAAACAACTTTTTTATTACTATTGTGTCAAATTCCAATCAAAAACTTTCATTCTTCTGGGTGATTTTGTTATAAGATCTGTCAACATCTCTAGACAGTCGTTATATTCGGCTCTTTGCCCCTCCCCTTCCATCCCTGGTTATACAGCTGGATAGTATTATGATTAAATTATTTCGATACCGTCCGTTGCGGACGACCGTCGTACCTTGGAGGATTTGCTATGCCGACAACTGGACGAACGCCGGAACGTCGAGCCCGCGTGGCTGGCGACCCGGTCCAACGGCTCGTGATGCGACGCCGCGTTACCCATGACTTTCGGGCTGAACAGCAGTTTTCGCGAAAAGATTTTTTTGAACGACAACGGCATCACACGTCAAAAAACACACACACACACTCACGCGCGGCACGGCACGGCACACCACCGCCGACGACCACAAAACGAGTCACGATTTGAACACGTCAGAAGACATTTGCGAATAAACGAAAAGCAAACCGAACTATACGACTCATCGGCGAAAATTTAAAAAAAAGGTAACGGACGAAACTTTTGATATTTTAACGATGATTTTCGTTAACCGACGACGACAAGGCGCGCACAAGACCAGTGCGAAATCACGGGAATTTTGCTGCGAAATCGCGTTATTATTATTATCAGAGACGTTGGTTTCGCAGGTGAGAGGGGAAAGGGAAAGAAACGCGGCGGAGTGATACGAGGACGCGCGCCAACGACGACGGCGACGGCGAAGTGCGACTGAGGAACGACGGTTGCAAACGGACCCGTGCGACTGGCGACGCCGTAGAAAATTTCGTAACGTACATTCCCGGAGGACCCCCTCCCCACATGTGCCGCCCGGCCAGGCACCCCAATGGCGCGGTGGCGGTGAGTAACCGGTTTCCACGCGCACGCGGTGGGAACCGACCAGGCGGCGTTCACACACGTCACGTCGTTGCGCGTACACTCTTTCGCGGACCACCACCGTGAGTACTATAATAGGCTACGACGCGGCTCCTCAACGTGTGTCCCCACCATAACCACTCCGAGACAACCACCGTATGACCGTGGTAGCCACGCACTCTAACCTCCTCCACAAGCACCGGGACGACGACGGCGTGGTCCGACTGTCCGACCGTTGTTAGTTTTTACACCAGCGTCGGATGTAACCGACCAATAACGGTGCGGCGACGACGGCGATTTCAACGGATTTCTGTACGCGCTCAAAAAGGGGTGTGACGCCCAACCGACTTTTTGACCATTATTAATTATTGTGCTGTTCGGGTGAGACGAGACGACGACGCGGGCGTTGGTGTTCTCCCAAGTCCCAAGCGGCGACAATCTCAAGATTGAGCACTTATCGGAAACGACTTAAGGATTGTAGAAACGAGTTTGAAAAACTTACGCTAATGCAAGTCGAACATAATATTATATTATTGATAAAATTGGTAATGGGCTCATAGCCTTATGTGATAGAATTATCATATGGGCACATGTGAACGTAGATATTATAATCAATATAATCTATGTGACAATGTGACATCGTTTTAGCATCGCTCGCCGTCAACCGTCACTATGGCAAAATTGGTACTTTCATCGGTATTTTCCAATAAAATATAGCCCTCGTCATAAAAGTTTGCCCGAAACATAATTAAATTTGTCGGAAAATAAATTGGCCGGAATGTCAGAACTTAAAAATTCGGAAAATATATTTTTTTCTAGGAAACGTGTTTATTCGAAAATATGTATATTCGACGTATTTGGAAATTTAAACGTTTGCAGATATTATATTGGAATCATATTTGAAAGGTATTTTGACGAAACACTAAACGGTATAATGGGTATAAGCAGCTCAAAACCGTATTTCATCTAAAAAGTATTCATTTAGAACCGTTTACCGTCACCCGGTAACTCAATATAATGTAAATTCTAGACAAAGTCTGTTTTGAAAAAAGTTGGATAAAAAGTCCGGACTCATTTTTTTAATTTTCAAACAAAATTCCGAAGGTAAAAAATATTCTGTTGCATTTTGATTAATAATTATATAATATAGTATACAGGTATACCTATGGCTATACATATATAAATATACAATTAGAAAATGAAATTAATTTTCCTATATAAATATACAGTTTTAATATAATATTATATTTGATTACTATTCCTTATACTTACCTAGAGTTAACATATATTAATAGTTCCATGAAAAAATTTAAATAATTGTCATAAAAAAAAATAAGTTCAAAAATATGTATGAACAAATATAAATAACCTTTTGGCTTTTACAAATAGTATAAACAATTTTTAATTGTTAATAATAATTTTTAATAGTCCATACGAATATCGATCACTCTACTATGGTAATAATAGTAATAATTAGAATAAGTTCCTTTTTCTTAAGCAATGTCCTATGCAGTTTAGAATTTACTTTAGAACTTACCATTACTGACCATTAATTTGAATAATAAGTATAACTGTGTAAGGAATAGTAATCAATTAGTATATTATATAATATTGTAGGTATATAAGAAAATAATTATTCCTTTTATATTAATATTAATGATTTAATATTATAAATTATTGATACAATCATAAATTAAAATGTAATAGAATATTTTGTACGCCTGGACTTTTTGTCTGACAATAAAAATGTGCTTGGGATTTTTGTTCAATGGTAAAAAAAAATGAGTCCAGGCTTTTTTACCGATTACCATGTAATACAGGAACATTACCAACGAAATATTTTTAATGAAAATAAGTTTCCGAGCAAATACGATTCCAATAAAATATAGTTCAATATGTTACAGTTCCAACTCACCAAAACATAATATCGATGTTTCCAATAGAATATGTTCCATAAAATTACATTTCCTAGCTGATTTGTTTCCGACACGATGAGTGGTGACACAATATATTTCAAACGAATTACGTTTTCAATGTATAATGTTATGATTAAACAAAAATACGATTCCTACAATATATGTTTCCGATGACATATTTTCAACAGGAATACTGTTACGAACGGATAAGTTAACTTGTGCAACCTGCTTCGTGCACTAGAAAAATTAATTAACATTAAATAGGTATAGCCATAGGTCATAGCCATATACCTACTGCCTAGGTGTATAAATAAGTACAGTTATTAATTATTTTCATCATAATATCATACGTATCAGTCTCTGTTATAATTAGTAAAAAACTATTGTTCACCTTTATAATCATTATTAATTAGTTCAACTTAATCGGAAATTTAACAATTATCAAATACGTTGACAGTATATAGACATATAGGATCTTAATAATGTACTTATTACTTATTAGTTATTACTATACGGTCTATACGGCTATACAATAATACAAATCGTAAAATTGTTTTATTTTATTTTACCGAACCATTATAATTTATAGGTACTCCAAAATTGTGATCCTGTTTTTTCAACTTTATCAACTTTCCACATTTTGTATTCCTTATACGAATTTCAATTTTAACCATGTTTGTTTTCTACAAAAACCAATCAGTGTTTTCAGAATATAAATCAATAGCTTTAAAATCAATTTTTCTTTGTAGTGATTTTGTAATTCAATGCGTGGTCATGTATTTATACCATAATATTATGCCCGATTATTTATATTAGATCCCTATTCCTTGCTGCAATTTTAAATTCAAATAAAGATTATGTTAAAAATTATGTTATATTATAAATAAAAATATCGAATTATACATTATACATTAGTACTAATAACAAGCTATATAATTATAATTTTGAAAGAAAATGGAAAGTATAAAAAAATTGTGACCTATATAGGTATCAAGCATCTACTATCAATTTTTGAGCAACATTTGAAATCATAAAAGTATTTCATTGTGTTATTTTGGACTTAAAATTCATATTTCCAATATTTTAATTTTAATTTAAATAATTTTACTTTTATTTAAATACAGAGGCGGTCTCGTCCGTTAGCAAAGGCTTCCAAGTCCTGGACCTTATAGGAGGCCAATCACAACAATAATATGAAGGTATTTTAAATTTAACGACTTAAATTAAATTTAAAATTATAAACCAGAATGTGGTTTTTGGTCAATGTGAGATCAAATAAAAATTGTCTAAATTAGTAACACCCATACACCCTACAAAATAATTTTTCTTGTCATTATATTTGTTTTTGTTAGGAAAATACTAAATACTAATTGTACTTAAATCAAATTTAAATAGCATTTTCATTTTAAATTTGTATTGTTTTACTCGACACTATAATATCATGTAGGTACCCATATACTTAGTTGTGCTATTGTGGTACTATTTATTTTAGAGTTCACAAAATTATTATAGTTTTGGCTGGTAAATTGCATCTTCACCTGAGGGCTGAGGCGATATTCCCATATTAATACTTATATTATACACCCAGTACGCACTCCACGCAGCTTTGTTGCGATAAAACAATTTTCTAGCAGCCACAATAGATTTATTATTTATAGGTAGATAAGAAATTTCTATTTGACAGTTGATACTATATGGACCACTAGACAAGCAATAAGTGTATGGAAAGCGTAACAGCATATAGATTATAGGGCGATCTTTGTTTACTCGTTTACTCAATATGTTTGCTAGTGTGGGGTAGTAGAATAAGACATCGATATATTTATAGATTATTGTATTTTTTCGTCAAGACACCTATACATTAGTGCGAGCTGTCTTACCGCCGCTCGTAATGCTGTTGTGAACAGATACGCTGTAAAGTTCTGGTCTAGTAGTACGTATAAGCGACACTTTATAAGGTTTATGATTGATACCAGGTGGTTTTACTTAAATATTGACCCACTATATAAAATCCACCTTGATGTACGAGGCAAGATTTTTATATACCTATACAAATTACGAATCATAAAGAAATAAGAAGCGAATTTAATAAATGTTGCGGTCGTTGGTTACCTGTTCTCGGCCAACAGGATAAATATGAATTACAATATTTATTATTTACAATAATATAGGTGTGATATTATTATTTTTAAAACTTATTAGAATTATTATACAATACATATCATATACATTTTATTTACAATAATCACGTTATGTGATTATAGGTATAGGCGTACAGCTAGTTATTTATAGACATGCAAGAATATAGAAAATGTATACACTGTTGGACCTAAAACTGTAATTTTTGAATTTTTCCAAGAATGATGAACAGATGCCGTTTTTTTTTACTATTAGTCCATTTTACTGTTATTATCGCACGGGTCAGTGATTTTATAATACAGCGAAAAATGAGATGTTTTTGTAGGAATACTGTTTTTACATCTATCTCAAGGTCTTTATAGATATGTTCCACTACAAAGAAGACAACATTTAAAATAATTTACGTAGGTGTATTGCACCATTTTTCATACTATATAAACACTTATATTTTTTAAATAAAATTAATTTATACTGATTAAAGTAATTAAAACCTTCTCTCTAGTCTTTATGGTTTCTACAGAAGAAAAATTACGTAAAAATGCATATTAAATATAGGTATCTAATATTTCAACGACACGACAACAGTATCGTTTATTATCAGAGCATTCAGAGTTTCAGAGCCAAACAAGGCCTTGTACAGGCATATGTTTTTATTGTTATCGCTACTCTTTTAAGTATGCTACTAAGATTTATAGCGTAACTCAATTTAGTCATCATAATTTATTATATTATATGAATTATATTATTTACCAAGTATGAAGGTTAAAATGAAAAAGACATAATAAAATTGAGATGGAGAGTTCAGATTACTCTAAAAATTCAAAAAATTACT